AACTTTGGGAGATACTGCTTTTCCGGATCAGGTATATTCCTCCCATTTACCTTTTGGTACAGATCTGGTTTGATTATGGTTCAAGTAGGATCCTTGAATAATATATTCTAAATTTAGGGAATATGATTCCCAGTTGGGAGAAGGTAGGAAATTTTTTGAAATTCGCCCACCCATTCTGCAACCTTTATGGCGTCCATTAGATGGATCCTACCATTCTTTCACCTATTTCAGAGTTAACAAGTCAAACCCATTTTGGTTTGGATAAAACAATTGAATAGACTAATGTTTATGTTTATTTGCTAATGAAGCAGTATAATCTTTTTTTATCAATATGAAACAATATAACCATGAAACTGAAACATGCCCATTCTAGTGTACTGATATGTATTTTATTGTTGAAAAGGACAAACAATCAATAGACATTTTGAGATATTTCTAACTTCTGAATACCAGAAAAAAAAATGAATTCCTACTTAGGGAACTGAACACTTACATGTTTTTTCATAAGAACTGGTAGTACACGTGTTTGATAGCATCTTGCTGTACACTTCCTTGGAACACGCATAGTGTATGGAGTAACAACTTTCCCACCCTTTTTAGGGAGCTGTTTTATGATTTTAACATCTTTTGAGAGAAAAGATATAAACCAATCAACATCAAAGATCTCGGAGAAATTGCTGCACATAGCATAATGTCAAAACAAAAGCACAATATGTTTCAGTTTTTGTGACAGAGTGGTTGGGTAACTGCAAAATCTGGCAGGGTATATTGCTAACAACAAACCTAGCATCCTTCCAGAAGGATTTTGAGTCCAGCTTAGGAACAACTAAAGTAGCATTCAAAATGCGGGCTGCAACGACAGCATCTGTTATCTACAAAAATACAGACACAACAAATTAATCAGCAATACAATCAGAGAAGTTCACGAACCCAATTAATCAATCATAACATTATGCAGTGAAGAATAAATTAAGCAACTGCATTGTAGTACAATCATTATAATTATGTGGTCTGGAAATGGTGATATATATAACATCTAAGGGGATTAGCTTAAAATGGAAAATCATATCTTAGGCTTCCTTTATCATAACTATTTTAAGAAATGATATGTCAGATATATAAGACCACACAACAAGAACTTACAAGCTACGGCCAAAAGATACTTATTGCATTTTTCAGTGGCATACAACAGGTCATTTTCAGATGGCATCACCATATCAGATAATAATAGTTAATGCTCTTTTGCCTTCTGGTAAAGCCCTAAGAGTCCACCTCAAGATGTGCAAATCCGTTCTTTATATTCTTATTTTCTATCTTACATGTGCAAATGTGCATTGAGATGGCAGGGACAGGTAAGAAGCTATGGCCAAAGGCTAAATTCTACTGAATTTGGAAACTTTATAGATAACTTGAGTTTGAGCAGGTTTAAGTCTGCACAGTTGCACTTTAGATCTATGAATATTGCTTGGTAAGAGCCCAAGGGTGTATATTAACAGATTGACCTATTTTAAGTTTGCATACCATCTTTTTTTCCTAGGGATTCGGGGGTAGCCCATCCTAAGACCCATAACCCTCTAAACCTGGTGGCAATGAGATATGATCCCAAGTCTTCGCTACAACCAACCAAAGACCCTACCAACCGAACCACCATCAGTTGGCCAACATTCAATGTGGAGAACTTCTAAACGTAGCTTTCAAGGTGCCAAGGTGAAGCTAAGTGACAGGGGAGTGCCTTATCACTTAGTTGCCTAGGCAACAATACCTAGGCACCTGCCTAGGCGATGAGTTTTTTAGAATGAAGAAGGTATAAATCCTAGAGTAGTTCCTTAGGTTTCATAGTAATAAGCATTAATCTTTAACTAATACTTACCATAGTCCTCATGAAATAAGTATAAACCCCACAACAAATTATAGAAAATATACATATTTATGAGAAAACAAATAAGGAAAGAAAGCATACAGATCATAAGGGCTTAGCCCTTGTTTTTGGCCTAGAAAAGAAAAGATGATGAAGAAGAAAAAGTCCTATTGGTTGTTCTTGTGTGTCAATAGGATAAAATCTTCAAATTATTTCTTACTTGCTAATTTAGGTTTTAAAGTCTTAAAGGGTTTAAGACTATGTCACTGACTTGTGTGGATTGAACCCAAACAAATAAGAAAATAATAAAAAGGAACCGGTACAAGAATAATAAGATTATTACTATAAGCCCACAATATGAATAATTTAGTCTAAAAATATTTATTGTACTACTATTAATACCATAAAATATAAATATAAATTATTATGCGGTATCTTACATATAAATATGTAGGCATTTGGGCGAGGCGACCCTCAGAGAGTGCCTTATCACCTTAGGCGCCCACCTAGGCATCACCTTGAAGCCCTTGACAACTATGTCAAAAAGCGTCTCAGAATGAGCAATGAACCGCTAATGGTTTGTTAACTAGCTAGAAAAGAAATGGTAAAAAAGGAAAAGAAAGATATAAATCATTCTGCTGGTCCTTACATTACTGCAAGTGCAAAATAGTTCAATAACATCTTTGAATGGAAAGGTTTATTAAATTGATTATATCTTGAAGTTGACATTTTCAGGCCTTACATTACTGCAAGTGTAATCAATGGATCCATGTATAGTATGAAATTTTCAGGCCTTATGTCTTGAAGTTGCAAGCACCCAAAGTATAGGGAAAACAAGAGGTTTATTAAATTGATTAACCAGAAAGAAGTCCTACCCCTGTTCTTTGTTGATTTAAGCCCCCACTGGTCGCAATCATCAAATACCGATTTGGTTGTGTAACAACTTCAGCTGCTGTATCATGCCAAATAGAGTTCACGTCAAATCAATAAACTGAAGTATTTTTTGAAATTCCACGAAGCAGAATGCCCTCAACAATGAAACATTTCCTTGGAATTAAAAGAGGAGAAAATTGAATTCTATGTAGGGAACCACAATATGGCTAATTCAAGCTTTCAATGAGGATCAATCGACAAGAACAACCATAATCAATTTCCTGACACGATAACGCAGAAAATCAAATCCAAATAGTTCTTAAATCACACTACACTCTTCGGAAAGATCAAATCATAAGGTTACATCACATCAATCTAACCGAAAGGGATGAAAATGAGGAGTACAAGAAATAGGGAAAAAACAGATACAGACGCGCAAACTTGTTGCTGGCATTACTGCATCCGTAGTAGAATTTCGACAACTTCGAGACCCAAAGATCATGTCCTGCGCTCCCTCCACCGATCTAAGAAAATCAAAACGGAAGCAAGATTAGGCAAAACTGGAATAAGATCCAACGCTAGCAAACAAAATCAGGTTCGAAAGAAAACTAGTAAACAGAATCCTAGAGGATAAAAACCCTAACCGGAACACGGAACACTTGGTTTCTGATGACGTTCCTCTGAATCTCGATGCCATTGTTAAACTGAACAATAGATCAAGAAAAGAAAAGATACGAGATTAATAGGAAAAAAAAAACAGGTAATTAAACAGGTGCTAACAAAGAAACATTAAAATGAGGGGGACGAGATTGGTGTAGTACCGAAGTGGAGTGGCGAAGGCGGTTGTGGTCTGTAGGCGGAGGGGCGAGAAACGACAGAAGAGTAATGAGGAGTAGAAGAGCGGCAAATATGGTGGACAGAACCGGAATAAGAATCCGAAGCTGGTAGTGCTGGTTCTGGCGACGCCGCTGGAAAGCCATTCTGCTGCAAGCTCAACGTCAACACGAATTCTCTCCCTCTCTCTGTCTCTGTCTCTATCTCTGTTCCAACTTCCAACTGACTCACTTTCCCCCTCCCTTTCTCTCCCTCTCAGTGCACGAAATACTAGGGAGAGACGAAGAGGGAGCCCACAGACTACCGCTCTACCATGTAACAACGATTGTATACGCAGAGAAAAACTCAAAAAATACACCAAGCCACCTCAAAGTCTCAACTCTCAAGCCAACCGCGCGTTTTTCCTTTATTTCAGTGATTTGGGAACATCCCATTTTTTGACGGAAAGCATGCTTCCAGAAAGACAAAAACACCCCTTATTATCTCATTAACAAATAACAACGATGGCTTTTTGGTCTTTTTACCTCAAAGGCTCAACCAAAACCAGTCGCGCCTCTTCCTTCTTTTATTAGTGATGATGAGATTTGAGCACATCCACAAGAAGTGTGCTTTTCAAAAGACAAAAATGTCCCCATAATCATTAACAACGGTGGTTTTTTGGTCGTCTTTTCACCTCAAAGGCCCAAGCCAACCGCGCGTTTTTCCTTTCTTTCAGTGATTTGGGAACATCCCCATTTTTGACGGAAGCATGATTTCAAAACATAAAAAAACGCCTCTTATTGTCATTATTAACAATGGTGGCCTTTTGGTCTTTTTACTAGGGATACGGAGTGAACCACCCCCGTCGCCCCCGAAGGCCCAAACTCTATGTTCACGTGCAAATGCACGTGGTACTGTCGAATTGCGTTTCTATCAGTTTTAACTATTCCAGTTACGAATTACGATGACATTTTAAGACCGACCAACAATTTTGGTTCCCACCCCGACCCCGACCTTTTCCTTTGTCTCGTAGCGCATAACATATTGTCTAAGAGTTTTAGACCGGATGTTACCGCCATGAGGCGCCACCGTGATGAGGTAGACTCGGCCTTGTATCATTTTTTATTCTCCAGCCAGACTCTGTTCATGATAATCTTTTAAACCTTTTTTTAATAGTTTAAACCATTGGATGATGATTAAATATTAATTAATTTTCAGTTGAAGTGATTAAAGAGTTTTACCTAATACCTTATAAACTAATAAATAGTTAGTTGATGATGTATCGTGTATGTCAATTGGACCCGATTTGGTCCAATTTGATTCTGTCCAATATGAGCATTCATTTTAATTCAAAGAATATTTTGAGCCATTTTGGATTGGTTTAATTTAATGTTCACATCGTTCAATCTGTTTAAATAGATTTTAATTTAGATTTATTCCGATCCCAATCTATATTTTTTACCTTTTATCAATGAATTAAGCATTGATTTAATCTGATCCAGTATAAAATAAATTTATTATGAATGGATCAAGTCAAATCCAAGCCAAGAAATATTTTTGGACCATTAATTCTAGAATGACCCAATTCAATATTCTTTTCTATAGTATTGAATCATCCAATTCGTCTAAATTGGTTTTGATTTTGATTGGGGTCCAACCTAAAATCCATACACTAACAACCCTATTTGGAGTATCGGAATGATTTGGTAGAGATGGAGATAGTCACATATATACGAAACAATTAACATAGACAAAGCCCAGCATGAACTTGCGATTCCGTTTGTTGAAAAAGGTCATGTATTTTTTGTTAATTAGTTAGATGAATTGGATTTGGAATTTTGGATGGTGACCATCATCTTGCGTATAGGCGTTTAAGTTAGATATTTTTATAATAATAATAATAATTGTAAGTTGGATGGATGTGGGCCCGGGATTGATGAAAGTATATCTGAGATTGAGTGGCGGAATATGAATAGTCATAATCAAACCTATTAAGGCATGGAGCACATACAATGATACAGAAGAGAAGGAAAAATATTGTAGGCCCAAGTAGGGATTGGGTGGCGGAGTTAGTACCCGAGTACAGTTTGGATGAAACTTCACAATTGGTAAAGGTCGTGTTTGGCGTGTCTTTTTTATTCATGTTTCAGTCTGCGAAAAGCGAAAAAAAAAAAAAGTCTTTCTTTCTTATGTTTGGTATCATGTTATCAAAAGACAAAAAGGAGTGGATACAAAGATGGAAAAAGCCAAAACTTAGGAAGCTTTAAATGAAGTTTTTGATTTTGTGTGTCTTATTGTCTACTAGGTAGTTAAAATATCTACCTAGAAAGTCTTGCCAAACAACCCCAAAGTTGGTCTCACAAGGGTTGTGGTTGTTCCTTCGATTAGAAGCATGGATGGTATTAGGCTAAACCCAATCCTCCCCATCTTGCATGTTATTGATAGACATGTGAAATTATGTATTAGGTATTAAATTTAATAATATTTTAATTATTTGGATTTTATATAAAAGATAATTGATATTTTATATATTTTTTGTATGCTTTAATCAAATAATTGGAGATTTTGATATTTGTTCATGTTTCTTTGCTTTTTTATTGCTTATAGATAATAAGAAATAATAGAAAATTAGGTCATGTTTGTTTGTTGTGTAAACTTGTACTCCGGTTTGGGTTTGCCTGCATTTGGTAGTGGAGTATTTATACATCGTAAATTGATATAAAACTCTTTTTGATAAATTTTTACATCAATAACCGGTGTAATGTTAATACCGATCGATTTTTTCAATTAAAACTTTCCTCTCTTATTTGTCTGCTCTTCACTGGAGGTGATACAATGACCACTACGTCTACCTTCTCCATTGTCAAAGTCACCAAAGTGGAAGAGGAAGGAAAGACAAGCATTCATTATCTTGTGATTTTCTTCTCCCCTCTCCCCTCAACCTAGTTTTTATTTCTCTCGACCATTTTGAGGAATTAGAAAGAAAAAGCAAGGAGAGAGAGAGAGAGAGAGAATGATGAATTTGTGCAGTTATTTGATATGTGGATTGGACAAAGAAGAAATGTTAATCTCGTAGTAGGAGTAGCAACTGGGTGAATTCGGGGTAGGGATAATATTCCCCGCCCCTGACTCTAATTCCCGTCAGGGATAAAAATTGTCCTCCGATCCCTAATGGAGGTAGGTTCCTTGTGGAGGCCCGAATCTCTGAATTTTTTTAATTAACAATTTTTTTGAAAAATAAACTCACTTAAAATAAAAGAAAATTTTGGGTGAGTTCAGGGCAGGGATAATATTCCCCGACTCTAATTCTTCTAGGGATAAAAATTATCCTCTATCCCCGATCCCCAATAGAGGTAGGTTACCCATGGAGACTTGAATCTCTGAACTTTTTTAATTAACAGATATTTTTGAAAAATAAACTCACTTAAAATAAAAGAAATTTTTAAGATATAAATAATATTTTAAACATACTTTAATATATAATATAAATAATATATGTATATATATGGGTTGGGGCAGGGACTTCATTCCGGCCCCATCCCTAACCCCTACCCTGGTCGAGGATTCCTATTAATCCCCATCCCCATCCCCGCCCCACCAAAACAATCCCCAGGTAGGGTACCCTGCAGGGATGGGGAAAATTGGCATTCCTATCTCATAGGATCGTAGCTCTAATCTCTGGAACGTGGACGACAGTAACACTGAAGGCAAAATCAAACTTTGAAGTGATCTTGTCAATGGACAACAACAAACATAGAGATAAACTCGGTTGAGCCGAGCAATCTACGTTTTTGGTGACTCCAATGTTGTAGTCGCAGGAGTGTGTTAATCAAACACATGCAAGATTCACAACCTCCATTTATGTTGATGTAATGTAAATAGGCACAACGGACATTCTACATTTTACACTCTCATCGGACAATCATCACTCAGCTCTGTTGGTGTAAAAGCATATTTACACAAGAAACAAATGCAACCTTAGATGTAGGTTCTAGACCCAACTTGTCTATCCTACCACAAGTGAAGGGAGCAGGTAGGGTTTTTGCATTCTCATGTAAAGAATGGATTTGGATTTTGAAAATCCAACTATGGATTTTAGACAAGGTATGGATAGAAAGCCTAAAACTCTAAGAAGTGGATAAGATCTAGAGTTTACAAACCTCTCACTCAACTTGGCCCATTGCTATCTCTAAGATCTAGAATTTACACCATTAACTCTCTCTCTCTCTCTCTCTCTCTCTCTCTCTCTTGCTCTCTTTCTCCTCTTTCCCATCAACTCTTCTAATAACCTCTCCTCATTAATTATGTCATTAACTTTTTCTTCAATAACTCATGCCACTAATTCCCTGTTGATAAGCCAAGAAGATCAACTCGAGTGCCTATCAAGAATCCTAGGTACGGGGGTTGAGCATGCATCAATTTGCATGGGACATGCAAAGCAACGAGTGACCTGGGCCACGGGCTTGCAGATTATGACTTAAGATTTGCATTAGTTGTTATTGTTGTTATTTTGTTTGCATAGGAATCGGTCAATAAGTTAGAGAGGATAATTCCATTATTGTTGGCTATTTTATTGTCAACTAACTGTTTCACTCCTTTTGTTTTGAGAAATAGTTGAGTCCTTTATGTATTTAAACTCTATCATTTAGCAAGGTAGGGTAGTGGAGAATTCAAATAAAATTACAAGGTTCATTCTCACCTCAAGCAGAATATTATTTTACAAATCTCTTAAATAGCTTTGACTGGGACCTATCACCTGTCATCACCATTATTCCATTAAATTGCATAAAAATACATTAACTTTATCTATCTATCTATCTATCTATCTATTTGTCTATCTGTTTGTCTATCAATCGATCTATCTATCTATCCATCTATCTGTATTTGCATTAAATTATAATTATTAGTAAAGATTAATTATATTGAAAGTAAGATATTCAATGATATATTATTGCGCTAAATAAGCTAATTCCATTCAAAATTATAATCCATTTACATACCATTTGAAAATAATAAAAATAATTTAGTAAGTTAAATAAAATAAGAACAATTAATAATTATTGTTATTGATAAAAATACTTTTATTAACATAATAAAAATAATTTAATTAATAAAAGGAATAAGATAAATTAAAAACTAATATCAGTTTAATATTAATATAAAACTATTCATAATTATCAAACCATTATTAGTTTTATAATTAAATTTTATTAATTTAAAACCAACTTAAGTTCTATTGAAAAATAAAAGTTTATATAGTTAATAAGATTTCGCAAGGAATTTAAATTTAATAAAAACTTAATATACTTAAATAAATTCAATTTTTAATAATTTCAAAAATTAATAAAAAATATTAATTTTAAATATATTTTAATTATTTTAAAAACAATTTAAATTCCATTTAAGA